CACTCCTCGCTGGCCTTGCCTTATGACGACTTCACGCCCGATTTCGTTAATTATTTTCGGCTTGCAAACACCTTCCCGTGGCGTCGGGATTTCATGGGGACATATGGCGTCCGAGTCACGGCAGTCCAGTCATTCCGGCTAATCTCGTCGAGACTTTGCCAGAACTCCACCCCTTTACCGAAAAAGAGACGCGGAATCGGCGCGTGTTGAAGTCTTGGATGGATTCGACACGCGTTGCAGCCGTTAATTATCGGCAGAAGGCACTTTTTGCCCTTTTCCGCTCAAGCTACGTTAATGAGAGGCTACGGTCAACTGGAAATAAACTAATTGGAGAAAGGCGCCTTCTAATCATCGTGTCTAACGGCGAACTGGCACCGTAGGTGACGACCGGCCGCCCTCGGGAGGGCGTGTGCTTCGGATAATTAGTCTTTGATGGCGCAGCAATAATTACGTTTTCCGCGTTTGCGTTGCCATCGAACCGCACAATCTTTTTCACCTTCCACGCTCGCAACGAGTTTCCTGTTACAGCTGTAATAATTACAACTTTGAAAAAGAATTTATGATAAGGGCGATAGGAGCATACGACGATAATGCGAGACTTGATATTGCGTTTGTGAAGAGATGGAAAGAGGCTGAACACGATTGTTAATTGTTTGTCAAAATAAATATCGATATGTTTAATATGATGTCAGACGTTTTGGTTACCGAAGGTAACCCCCTTTTCAATGACAATACAAAATAATTGTTAGCGCTCTAAATTATTATTTAATATTCGTTTTAAACACAATATCAAGTCTCACGTTATCGCCATATGCTCCTATCGCCCTTGTCATAATTAATAATTTTCTCTCAAAGGAGCTTGTCGATTAACATATTTGAAAAAGAAATTTCCGTAAAAATATATATTAGCTGTGTCAAAAATAACGCAACTGAGATAACAGGCTAGACTTTGAAAGTTTCGGTGTCAGCTTCGAAAATAGTTCTCGCGCTAAATTTCACAGAGTCGAGTGAGAGTGATCAGGTTCCGGCAAATCCGGCTGAAGCCTGACGGCACTTGAAAGGACGCGAATCGTTGTTAAAACGAGATAGACTCATCTCCCGCCGGATTACTCTCGGGCATTGTCCGGCCAGCGGACAACAGCGTACTCGTAGCAACTCTGTGCGCGAATTAGAGTAAATCCTTTCTCCAAATGTCCGTTCTAATTCGGCACGGGCAGTCCGCAATGAGACGCTCTGCGGGAAACCATTCACCGGCAGGCATAAAGAAACGGGTTCGAAATGAGCTCCGGAGATTATCTGGTTCGCCGCTACTCGCACATCAAAAATGAGCGCAGCCGACCATATTTTGTCAGCGCGTCGATACTTCTGTCACAATATATGCGCGTGTCAAAGAATATCAAGCCAATCCTCCGCTTTTATCACTTTGGTGCATTTGACGACACTTGTACGTTAATGTTAATATTATTAAGTATTAACGCTAACATTCCTTTCAATTAGTCGCTGCAACATGATATTCCCTGATACCCCACGGAGCAAAATGGACAAAATTATTCGCTCGGACAATGAAAGCGTGCGAAACATCGAGTAGCTTCGGTACACTGGAAATTCGAAGTCATTGTTAGAGCATCTGTTTCTTCGGGTCTCGCACAATCAAACCGCAAGATCGTCATAGTTCTACGAAATCATGCCTCGGCTCGAGGCCGCGCCGCGCGCTCGAACCCTAAAAAGAAGCTAAAAATATAGAATTGCAAATCAAATAAGAAGCACGGTCTAATCTTCCACCTTGAAATCGCGCTGCCGCAATCTCATTTTTAATCAAGGCCCCCGATCGCGCTCCTTGCAGATAGAGAACCTCCTCCGCGTATATCGAACGGCAGATGATCTGCCTTCCCTCGATAGAGGTCCATTGTATCCGAAATTGGCTTTTTATGGCGGTTGAATATAACATCAAGGTTGTTTGCAATATTTTTTCTACCAATCGGTAGCACGGTAGCCTGCCCGCGCCCCGGAGGAGAAATTGGTTTTTGCATATCGCAATCACCTCGACGCCTCTGATTGACTACTCGATAAACCAAGCCATTACTCATCTCGGGCGTAATAAGCGAGGGACTCGATTAACAGGCGCCACTTTGCGCAGAAAATTTTGATTTAACGCACCGTTGTCCTGCCGTATGCAATTTCTATCAATACGTGCTAAAATTGACGTCGTCGCTGCGCGCGCGCGCGGACTCTTGGCAGAGATTCTCCTCCGTCCGTTCTATTCTCGCAGAAGGAGATGTCCGAGTTTTTCAGGATAACGCGACGCTTGTTATTACGGCATTTACGGATATCGGATGTCCTTTCGGTGCCTCCCTCCCTCCCTCCCCCCTTCTGTCCTCCGCATAATGCAGGACGACCCAAGAGCGAGGAAAAACCGAGTCCTTGGGTACAATGCTGAAGCGCAGGCTGCAGTTCCGCCCACTTCCGGGCCTTGAATGCATTCTCGACTCGTCTAACTACCCTTAGCAGTTAAGCCACGTGAAACGCGGAGACGTGTCCTTTTGCCGGTACAATTTTTTTTTTCTTCCCTCTTTCAGTCCGGTAATAGTGTTCATCGCACAGTGTACGATTACCGTGACACTCAAAGCCGCGTATTTTCGTCGTACGGACGTCACAGAAATGTCAGGAGGAGTACGTTGTACCGATCGCACGCGGGTGATGGTAAACTTCCACGGGAACATTATGCAAATCCTCGCTTTGTCTCTCAGATCGAACGGTGCGGATTTTTACGACGCGACACCCTCGCTCCGCTTTCCGCGAGTTTCTCCAACGCGTGCGAATATAAACCTGGTGCTTTACGTCCAGTGTACGGCTGAGGGCTTCTTCCCGCCCACCAACGCCCACGAGTCGTCGCGGGCGGAAAGTAAGTGAAACGTTTTTCTACCCTTACGCGATCTCCTCTATTCGAGGGTTTTTATTACGGTTATTCGAAGATCGCGCTTTCGCCAGGCCGGGCACACCCCGTAACACCCACTTCCCTTCCAGCTTGGATATGGGACACCGCGGACCGTAAGAAGTTAAACGGACGTATTATTTTCTGGAAAGGACACACGAGACCCTGGTCGTGGCGAACACGTACGGCGTGCGAGGAAAACAAAACGGGCGCGTGCAGCCTACGGTGTCGTTCTCGAAAATTATGCGCGCGATAACGGAGTGTGAACAAGCGATAACTATGACGTCGCTTCAAGTGCACGCAAACCATGCTATCGAGGCTACAAAGCCGCTCCGGCTCGGCTACAAAGGCCACGCTTGCATTGCTATGTAAATTTTAATTATAATTACGTACGTCAGCTTGATAGAAGCTGAATAACTTCTCCAACGATAAATACCTCCCGCGTTAAGTTAATTTAACATCTCACTGCTGTCGACTATATCGAGATAATATATGTATAATCGATTGCATGATTTCACGTAGAATAATAAAGTAACAAAATTACCAAATATAAAAACGGTTGGAGTCAGAAACAAATAAAAATTTCATTTTGATTCCGACGGTCGTACAGAGTCTTTTTTATTTGTCGCTAGCGAAATTACCTTTTCAATGAAGGTAAAAGGTAAAGAGCGCCAAATCCACGCGCCGTAAAAAAGATTTGATATAAAAAACTAGTGCCAATTTGTAGTGGTTAGTAAAATTAAATCCATTGGCGCGAGACACTACAGTTCGAAAATTTGTGTTTTCTTGTTAAAGAAAACGCCAGTTAAAATCGTGTTAAATGTTTAATAGATTCATGTGTTAATTTAACATATTGCTCTTGTGTTAATTGATCTCAAATGTATTAGTAACAAGATTTATCTGTTAAAATTTACGGAATAAAATGTTGATTTTATAAACCGTCATTTGACTTATTATGTAAAATGTGAAAATTTCATTTCTTAAAATTCATTTTGTCATTAAAAATATGTTAATTTTACACAAAATTAATTTCAAATTTATTTTGAAATATGCATTTATTTTGTGTTGAAATATTAACAGAGTATCAGTGTGATCGTTTAACATATCCATATTATGTTAAATTAACACACAAATTTGTGTGGACCGTTTCGGACATGTGATATATTAAATTTAACACAAATTTTTCAACTGTATACCATGTTGATACTCTTCAATTCTGTCGTACATTTTTGCTTTACAACATTCTTGAAATTTTATACATAATTATTATTTTACAATAGTATTAATATTTATTGCTCCCTTTTTTAATATAATTAACGTTGTTAATTATTAGATGTAATGAGTGTAACGTATTAGTATAATATCTACATAATCGGGCTTGTTGAAATATGTACTCGACTGACAATGAGACAATGACGATTTCCATGGCATGTATATTGCAATCGACGCAATATCCAAAGATACCCGAGACATCCAAGAGCGATATGTCAGTTTCATTTACCTTGCACACTTTGCTCTGGCGCTTTGCTATTCGCGATCCCGTTTTATTGCACGATCTGCCATAAACGGAAACGGCGCAGTACCTCGTAAAAGATACGACAGTCGCACATCCATGGAAATTGCATGCGCCCGTGCTCGGACAAATCATTCGGAACCAGAACGGCTTTACGGCATCACGAATCGCTCCGAAATTGGCTGTATACTCGTCAAACGAGATCCCGTAATAGTGGCTCGATCATGCCAATCACGAGTACGCCTAATGACAATGTTGATTTATTCCGCGACAGAAGATCTTATTGCTGTACCCGTTCGATAAACTCACGACCTGATCCGGACGTTCCTCAAGGTTCTATGTGGAACCTATTCGTAGAAACGTATTCGGGATATGCGAACCGCGAATCACATTATCGCGAGGCTAATATTTTCAGTGCGAGCGTATGCGCGAAGATCTGATAATCGTCTTGACGACGATAGCGTTGAAATTGTCGTCGCCCAGCGTCAATCTATTGAGCACGACAGGAAACCAGGTGGGCCAAGCCGCAAGTGCTGCTCCAACATTTTTAATGAACCGCCAGTGGTGATCTGGACAGTGTCTCTGTCGGCGACAGTTGGCGTTCTTTGTGTCGGACGAAGCGGGAGAAACTACAAGCGAAACTTTCCAGCGGTGGCGGTTTCGAGACCCGTTTCCAACTAGCCGGCGGACTTCTGGACGGCAAGTGGAGACCTGTAAGGGGACACCGAGCCAACGGGATCGACAACAAACAGGAACTGCAAAGGGCGGTACAGTTATCAGGTTACCAGCGCAGCTTAGCTTGATATAGCTGATTTATTGGCGGAAGTCGATTAGGCTCATACCGTAATTACAAAAATCACGGCGCACGCCGGCAGATGCTCCGATCTTTACACGTCGTCGAATTCCTGAATATATCGTCGCGGGCTTCGTAAGACTCTCAACGGATGGAATAAGGCGTCGCGTTCGAAGCGATTCGACCATCTCGCCCTCGTGCACATTTTGCCAACGATTTTCGTACAGCCTATAATTCCGTATCGGGCATGCCGCGGGGATTTGCACGGGGATTCCGGAATTATCCCGGTGGCTGAGCGGGATGATCCTAAGTAAACACGCGTGCGGCCACACGTCCCCACCATGCCGCGACGCAGTTTCTCCGTGCCCGCACAATTCGTCGGGAGCAACCCCCAAACGAATGGGGAGGGAAGCGACAATGATGATGGCGGTGTTGTGAATACAAGGGCAGCAGATCGGTCCTTCGATTCGCAGGCAGGAGAATGGGAATTCGTGTGTAAGAGTGGAAAAGGTGCTACCTCCACGCTTTCCTCGCGCACCGAACTCGTCCCTTTACGAGACGTGTTATGTCACGAGCTGTCTCTTTTAAGACTCACCGACAAGTCCGTGGACGACGAAAGCAGAGCAGCGACGGTTGCAGCTTGCCATTGGAAATGATCGATGGGAGACGATCGATCGCGACGGCCCATCGCGCTCGAGATTTGCAAAATTATTGCATTTAAGTCTGATGTAACACATATAAAACTGTACAATTATTCTCTTACTATCAATGTCAGTTGTACTATATTTTTTGTCCCTTCTACACGATACGCAGTGTATGTCCATATAATTTAAGTAAAATTGACTTTAACACTTTCGAAGGTTGCTCTACCTTATGATGCTGGATACTCTAATACGTTCAAGGTGAGTGTGGTTTGTGGTTAGAAGGATCACTTGCTCTCGATACAACGTTATATCTTCAGTCGTAAACGATAATAACGACAATCTACGCGCCGTAACAGATGCTCGTCATTACTTGGAAATTGCAGTTCTCACTCGCAAACGTGACCGATTGTGTGCACAAAAAAGCGCTTAAGCGTATTGTTTTACGTTCTTTATTTGGGCGGACGACGTTCCCATTGTGTACTTTCGGTAGAAAAATGTACGTAATGACATAAAAATAATAATGGGCGAATGTGGTCAAATGTATCAACCATATGTAATACTATTATATATTAAAGTTCAATTCTGCGAATTTCCTTCGTAAAAGTAGAACAAGTCGTTCCTGAAAGATCAAAAATCGCGCCTCGCGGTCAGCGAGACAGTATACTGCGATTTTTTGCGATCACGCGATCCGAGATTCTTAGGCGTCTTGTTGATTCCTCGAGTATACTCGGGCAGTGAACGAATACGCTTAAAAGGAAATCAGGTAAGGCCCCAGTTGGAAACGTAGGAACGACACGCGGCTCGTCGGGAATCATGTGAGAGAACATTCGTCATTATTACCGTTGACCGTTGGTCCCTAAGGTCTACCCATTCGGGTTTCACAGGAAGTAGGCCGGTCGGATCAAGGATCAGGCTGCCCTTTTCCATTTTGAGGCGGCTCATTCAGGTGTAATGGTCAGTTAAAGACTATCCAAACAGAGAATACCACCGGTTCTTTCGATGAACTTCCGAGTCTTCCTTTTTTCTCACAATCGAGTGTCTTCAGCTCCAAGTCTTCCGCTTGAGAAATCGAATTCTTTGTTCGCGTACTGAACTACTGGTGAACTAGTTTATTTAAAATTTAGCCTCTGATCTTTCAAGAGATAAAACCAATATCTAAGATTCGTCAGGCTTAATATTTATTCTTGAAAAGTTTCTCTTTATCACGTACAGATATCGCCTCCATTCGTGTGCCTTTTAATATAACTAGTAAAATTGATATTTCAATAACGTTTCGTTTGATAAGCTTGTCTACGCGAATTCGCGAGCAGTCGATCTACGCGAATAACTGTGACGAGCCCACCCGCGGTTGCCTAAATAGAGGAATCACCTCAAGTATATTTATTCACGTGATCGTCGAATAACAAACGTCGAAATCCTTAAATCCTAAATCAACCTGGCACGAGTCGAAACCGAAAGGCAGACTGCAAACAAACGGCGGCAGTCGAACCGTGGAAGACTCGTCCAATGTGGTGGAAGTCAAATATTAGGTCACGAAATAAGACGTGCTTAGTGTTCGGTCGAGTTTAAGCTTTCTTGGTGGTGCTTCAAACAATTTCCGGCTCTTTATGCAATTATGATATCTTAATGTAATGACGACATTATATTTAAATGAAACAACGACGAAAGGGTGTACTCTTGTTCATCTATTTCTCAAGATAGCAGTAAAGTTGCTGCGCGTAGGAGAAATGTTAGCGATCACGTGTGGTATCCATTCGTTATCGTCGAAGAATCTGCACGATAACGTATCGTTTGATTCGAAATGTTTCGAAGCGTCGGAGTCGTAAAAAAATGCTTTTCGCGTGGCTCTTGACTCGCTTCTTATCTGAACCGAAATGCCCATTCTCAGGCAGTAGCGGCGGTGACGGGGAACAGAAAACGAAGAAACTGAAGACAAGACAATGACCGCTGTTCAAACATGTTCGGACTTCAAACGACCGCCGGCGTATGGGATGCGGCTGCACGTGCATTAGCGGTTCGCATCGGCGAAGAAAAGTGCGCCTCCACGGTGTCGCGTCCCTTCGTGCCTCGGCCGAGGAACATCCGGCATAGGAAATAATAAATATTTGGGAAGGCTGCTACGGAACGATGCAGACGCGCCAAAGCCTTTCATTTGTTAAGACATGCCGAAATTAGTATATTGGAAGGCAACGACGTGACACACGGGGAAAAGAGAATATTTTCCTAGGATCGAACCGCGGCACGAACGACCAAACACTGGCCCTGCGAGCTGCGTTTTGAATATGCAGGATCATATGTCTATAGTTTGCTTCGATTGGTTCGGAGTATCTTCCTACTTACATTTCTTCACGTCTTATCGATTTTACTTTACTTCTAATTCGGTGAAATTTATAGTGATTTCGTTATCGCTGTTGAAACTTTTTTTTTCACAAGAGAACTTAACACTTCGAGGGCCTTGCAATATGTTTTCCAATAATGATTGCGACGACTTTTATTAATCACGAGCGTTCAGCCGCACGCGCTCTCAATGAGCAGCTGGCGCGGTGTCGAACACGTTGTTGAATTTTATCGCGCGCAGGATTTTTATTTTTAAGTCGTTCCCAAGAGTGGCGACGCGCATATCTGCATACGCCGAAGATTCATCCACCGAGTTGACTGACGAGCGCCGCCCTCCCCTAATCGTTCGATCGCCAAAAAATTTACAAAAAAGCGCCACGCCGCGAGGACGACAGGGGACGGAGGAGAGAAAGGGACCAGGTTACGGAGGAGTCCCGAAGAAACAAACTGAGACGAAACTCTCCCTCCGTACCCGGGCACCGCCCTTGCACTCCACCCATCCATCTCCGGCGTGCATATATTTTTGGGCGGCTAGTTTTTCCCCCGAGGGAGATTTATCATGTCCCTACGCCTCTTCTCTCGCGGGCTGCTCCATCAGTGCCCGACGTGTGGCAGGGAATAATTGGCAGAGCGGAGGAGTGGCCACATCGTACTTCAGAAACTACTTTGGAGATGGCTCGTGGGAGCAGGGTAGCTCGGTATACGGGGAAAACGATGATTCCCCGCAAATACAGATAAGGTAACCTGCGTGAAGCCAAAAATTGCATACTTGTCTGTTAATTCAAGCGATTTTTCAACTGCAAACTTTTATGCTAATAATGACAACAATTAAATTAAATCGTCTTGTTTCTGAAATATCTAGAACTTTATCCGTTGAAAACGCGCTACAAGGGGCTAGAGAATTATCAGCATGGCATTGTCTCCCCCTGTATATAAATATCACTAGGTCAGTTACAAAGTCGTTTGATCGAACAGTCGTTCGAAAGTCGCCCGACCGAGCAGTTGAATACGTAATCCGGAAGCGTAGTGTCGTAGAAAGCCGAAAATGACAGTGATAAAATTCGCGGGAGACTTTACGCGTTTAATCATTCGTTACAAAACAAAATCAAAAGTAAGTATTCGCTCGATTAAAAATCTTGATTCTAAACGAGAGTGAGATGTAGTCGACACAAGTGTCGAATGCACGACTGTTACTCTATTTGCACATGTATTCTACCTGTGCTTACATTCGTATGGGAAGGTGATTCCTAGTGTACATACAAGTGAAGCTTTTCATATAATCTGTGATTATTACGCGTGTATTTCAGAACAATCCGTCGGATGATGTCGTGCCTTTAAGCGATGAAGAAATATTGTTCACCGTACATTACGTGCTTCAAGCACTCTCGATGAAAGGCATCGAGGACAAGAATAATCTATTAGAGACACCCAATGGCACAAATACTGTTGGCACTCCAGAAACTTTGGTCGTAAATATCGAATCAGACAGTGAGGATGCGTGCAGGTTGTTTTGAAACTTTAGTACATGGTCTAACGATTACTTATAAATGTATGTTTTTTATGACAATATGTTTTATGTTTCTAGATCTCAAGATGTTCTATCCGTTTGTACGAATAATGATATTACTGTTTCTGTCTCACCAGACGCTACTCAAAAAGAACAAGGGCATTGTTCCAGTATAGTCCAAAATGAAAAGAAGGTAAACTTCGTTATTTTTCTAGTAATTTGACTTTTACAGTCGTATTTTACATAAAGCTGACGAATTAAATTTGATTATTCGGTTGTCTAAGACGTTAACATCTAATTCCAATTTGTCACTTATTTATAGTTTGTTTCACGATCGAATCCTGCGATCTGCGTTAACAAAATTAGTAGGTCTGACACTTTTGTTCACGAAGAAAGCCAAAACATCAACACCAAAAAGCAGAAAAATGTTTCCAAAGATTTAATACCTGCTAAAACGTACGATTTACCAGCGATAATTGGCATATTGACGGAGATTGTGGAGATATTGAGGGAATTATTCACCTCAATATGAAAGTGTGTTATGGACCTTACATTGGAAGTGAATGATGTAGAAGAATTTTTAGAGGTAATTGAAAAGTAATTTTTAAGATGAGGTATTTGTATAACGAAATATTATTTATGCACATGCAGTCATTTATTTTATAGCAATCATTTCCGATAAAATTGCCATTTATCAATTCCACAAAATGATCGCGACAGGCAATTTGTGAAACTTTCCTAAACTCACAATTGTCAGCTAATGATGATTCTAGACTCCGTCGAAATTCAACTATATACAAAACAAAGGGGTCATCTAACATTCTCAGGTCAAGAAGTTTCTCATCATCGAGAACATCGACGTCCTCTAAATTGCGCTTATCAGAAAATAAAAATATTTCCGAGAGACGTAGAAGTACTGGCGGAATCCGGTCTAGTGCATCTGAAAAATCTGGCAAATTCAACGTGGGTTCGGTATCGAATCTGAGCCTTTTATCACCACGTAGCACATCATCAAGTTTATCTGACAAAATCCCAAGTTCGGGAAAAAATCATGCATGAATGTATTTAACTCCAAAATTGTTTCTTATTGTACAAATTTGTGTAATACGCAATATAAAGTAATATTACTCCGTAGTACTTGTTTGTCCGCGAACTTATAATATATTTAAAAAGTTTTTAACGAGTTATTTATGAAAAATTTTTTGTGATGAGTTTGCCAGACTTAAAAAAAAATACGGCAGTATATATTTTTTAAAAAGCTGAGAACACGCTGCCTTTCTTGTTCATTTTTACAAATGAGTTTAGTCACATTTAAATTTTATAAGTGTGACAAACTCGTAATTTGTAAAATTTTACATTACATGTAAGTCATTAAGCAAATACGCGATGTTTGGCAGTCTGGTGTAGCTCGTAAATTTATCTGCTGTAGGCTATACGCTCCGAAATGCTTCCTCATGTTTCTTTTGCTAACTGAATGAATACCTTGCATATCCTAAATGCAGGTCATGCGAGAATAGAAGCATCGAGTGTAACGAAAATTATTAATCTGGTCTCCGTTGTTTGATCTCGGTCAAGTTTGACTTAAAACACCGCCGCGAGGGTAAACATGCGCGTCTCCAAGATGTAATTTGTCAATGTAAACCCTTCTCCTGCCGTAATCTTTGTTTTATATTTAAAAAATCCACCAAAGAATGTATTATTGTACGTTTGTATGTTAGCAAAAAATTATTGAAACGTTTCCATATTTTTTAAATCGTTCTTTTTGCTGAATTGGCCGCAGTTATTTTGGAAAATTAATTAAAGCTTTTACTTAAAATATAAAATTAATTTAATTCAATAGTTCATTTCTTTCACCTCAAAAGAGTTAATACGCGCACTGTGTGAGACGGAGATAGCAAGATAACTATTAGTATTCCGGTCTTTAATTACAAAAATCGTGTAGGCGGTGCTTTGGCACCGTGAGCCTTCATCAATCATCCGTCAATCCACGTCCACGAGAACGATTCTTCTAGATTACACGATCTTTGCCCTTGAAAGGCAGACCTTCGTTACTAGGAAGCAGGTAATCTTGAGGATCGTAATTAGCGCTCGTCGGGTGAAGACTATATCTCGTATCTCCCGTGGCACTCGTCCGCTACGTTAACGTAGAAACCGCGTAATTCCATACATTATTTTATTTTAATGAATTCGCTCCCATCAGAAATCCATTCCTCCGTCATCCGCCTCGCAACGGTATCCACGGGTGGCGGTGGCAAACCGCATCTGTCCTTAAGTGCACTCTCGGCGAAACACTCTTCGGCTTAAAAAGTGTTTCACTTGTTGACGTGTCAGCCGAGAGCCACTCACGGCCGGACTCCGAGGAGCAGTCCCATCAACGACAGCGATTAGCCCCACGATTCGCCTTAATGGCTGCCCGATCGTCCGTTTCTCTTTTCGACGTTATTAAGTAGGCGCGAAAATGCAAAGTGAAATGGGACAGAGGGAGGGAGGGGCAGGACATCGTCAATCCTCCGCCTCGTCCCCGTCACGATATAATCGTGAGTCACACGACCGCGCATTCATTTTTCCATTTTTACGACGCCGTTTCTCGAAGTTTAATCACGGCGTATTAATAGAGAAGTGCACTCGACGAAAGTTATATTTACGAGCGCTCGTTAGACTTTTCATACGATGACAACTATGTGTCGCCGGTCCGATAAATTAATTTGACAAATAAACGAACGGTGCGAGCCCACGTTTTACGTTTAATTATAAAATTATAGGATACGTCGATGCGTTTCCGATCGCAGCGACGGTAATTAGGTTTTACGAGTGTCCGCATGAGCGTCTAGCTTAAAAGCATCGAAAATGTGTGTAGCCGAAGTTGCAAAAAAAAATGCATTTTAAAGGAGAATAAAGAGAAAAAGTTGATAAATGCGAATTCATCAATAATACATACGTCGCCGCTACCATCTTTATTATCGCGATTCAAAAGCTGATACGGCCATGACCGTGGGCACAGCTGCCACTTTGCTGAGAAACGAATTTGTAGCTGCCCGCTCCACCTTTTTGTCTCATCGAATCACTTCCTGGCTGCCCCCTCCCCCTCGCCGTTCTTTCGTTCTGCCGTAGCCCGAACGAGACCATTTTTGGCTCACGCGCCCGTAGACGTGCGCGTATGCGTGCTCGACCGGAGGACGTTTCTGCGGACAAACCGATTTGGCGTGCAAAAACGGATCGCATCTTTTTAAAACATACTTGAGGGAGAGGCAGAAGCGTCCGCAATTTCCGCTTGATGGTGCACAGGTGCGCGCGCGTGTGCGTGCGCATTCTTTTGTCGGCGCGACGCGCTAACAACGGCCCTCCTTCCGCACCGCGCGCGGTCACGCAATGACAAATCCTATAAATCATAAAACAAACCACGCGTTTAGCCCCCGCGCGCGGCCATAGCGTAACGACGCTACTAAATTACTCGTTTTTCGACGACGCTTCAACGATGCGCGTGACTTTATAATAACGTAAAAAGTGCACTTCTCAAAGAAGTGAAAGAAAACGCAATATTTAAGCCTTAAGGTAGTTCTTTCCCAACTACGCTAGTTAAAATGAGACTTGATAGATAAAGTTCAATAGACGATGAATTCTTTTGCAAGTGTCAGGTTTTCTACCTCAGCAGCCAGTGGCGATAAGCGAAAAACGGTTAATTTTAAGTAAATATATCTCGGAAACTCTACGGTAAATCAAACCCAAATTTTACACACATACGCATGAATATTTAAATTAGTTTTACTGCAAGTTTAAAGAAAATCTGTAACTTCATCATTTTTTACCTAACTACCTTGAGACATTCCTTCGAAAATAGCTATGATCATTCCTCGTGCACACTCAAAAAATATCTTACGAACGCAGGTAGATTTCTACGTGTTGCAACAAAAATTTATCACTATTTTGTGTTAGAAAATTGTTTGTAGCCTACACAATTTAGGGCAGCAACATTCTGGTAATATCATCTAGAAAGTTTAGCTGTAGGTTTTATGACTAAATATTAATCATTCACGTTGGATAAAAATGAATTTCGGTGCCATAGCTAGAACAATTTTTGTAAGGAATATAATTGTTTATGTACCACAATCAAATGTATAATAGATGGGCCTCACAGAAAGACTTTCTTTCTAACATTCGCTAACTCGCTAGTTCAAATAGAAATTATGTTTCTATTATTTAAATTAATTGAATACAAAACACATGCAATTTTGCAGTATTGGCTATTCATTTATAAATCTCAGTTGTTTTGTCGTACGTAGAAAATTGTTGCCGCGGTTGCAAGATCATTTTTTGGAGTCCGTGATATCGTAAATTGGTATTTCGTCAAGGGCCAACAATCTGAACAAGTCCTTTCATTTCGCGCCAAAGGGTATAATAAGACATCGCAAAAATAATTATGCATTTAAATCGCACGCGAAATTAGCGTAAAGATATCTTTTTTATGAATAATCTTTGCAGATTTGTGTAATCTGCGTAAACATATCGGTCCTGGCTTGTTGAGAACAGTCATTTTCTCGGAGATTAATCTTCCCCTTTATTCGTGGCGTCGCCGGCCCTTAAATAAAGCTGTCACACCGCCTTGGATGAATTGCACCTCCGCTGCAGAAACCGCGCAATGAGGCCGGGCAGCGGACGCGGTGCGGTGATTCACAAGCGCGTAATCGCGCGTGCATGCAAAGTCACTCACGCGACCGACTCGACGGCGACGGCGGCGGCGGCGGCGGCGGCGGCGCGAGTCTGCAATTTCGCGCACTCGCTCGAAAACCGGCCACCCCGACACCTGTTGTCGAAGTATACGCTTGATGATTCCCTATGCTAAGCTCGCGACGGACGTGGCAAAAAGTCGGCCAGTCGGCTCGTTGCGGGCCCTGGGGGCCCTGGGGGCGCGATCGGAAGCGGCACGGGGCGAGCGAAAGGGGGGCAGACTATGGGCGTTCTTTCCCCACCTCGTTGGGGCTCTGCTCGATTCTACGTGTTCGTAAAAGTATCGACTCGAAGGGGGACAGGAAGGAAGGGAGGGGAGATGATTACGCGCGTCTTTTTAACACAAAAGGCTCGAAAACCAACACCGAAATACGACGAGCAGCGGCGCGCCCTGTAATCGGCGACGTCCCAGACCGGGCTCTCCCTTCGTGATGAGACAACCATTTTCAAAATTGCGATAGTCGCCTGCAAATAAGGCGAGAGATGGGCACCGCAGCCGGACGTTGTAGCTAACCGAGGGCCCCTCGTGGCCGAGTTATTATTTGTTTTTGCCCCGGGGGACCATCACGGTGCTTATCGAGTCACCGTTTGCCTCAGCTGCAACGGAACGTTACGCCCAGTTTCGAAAAGAGCAAGAAAAATCCCCCGTCCCGTTGTTGGACAACGTACACGCGGGAGTCGCAATTTCCTTCGTCTAAGGCATAATGATACATCTTTCGCGTCTCAAAAGTACTGATTGACATATCTATTAAAGTCTTTTTTTTTCACATTTTTCTCATCAAAGTCAGACGACACGCAAATACATTTTAGGAAAAGTCACTCCATCCTCTAGCGTCTACTCGGCCATTTTCGCGCATTAATCCGCACTCGAGAATTATGCTTGAAAACGGAGATTCCAGAAGAAAATCACGCGGTCCCTCGTCAATGATCTTCCACTAAGCAAGTTTGTGTGTTCGCTGGTCGATCAAACCGCTAGTTATGATACATCGTGCAAACTACACTAGAGCGATACGAAAAAAATGACGTAGGCGCGAATCGAGCAAATTGGCGAGGAACATTCGAGACGTGGATTCGGCCGCAATCTCGGCTCCGGGGCATTGGCGGCTCACGGGCGATAATTGATATCACCTGCCATGTAAATATCGGGTATCGTCGTTTGCCGAACCTGTCGGCGGAAAAAGGGGGCCAGGGCAAAAGGAATCGAACGCAACCGCCGGTGAGATAATTACGTGTTGGTTTTAGAAAAGGGGGAAGCACCGGTTAATTCCACGCTTCGTAGTCCGCGCAAAAAGCCGCCTGCGGCCACGAGTTCCTCTGCGCTCGAATTAGGCGACGCGCCGTGTGAGAATCTTAGGCTGGTGCCAGAACGCCGATCAAACTCTACATTTTCCAAAAGTGTCAGCGTGCAGACCGCTATAGAACGTTAGGCGTATACGAATAAACACCGCCAAATTCGATAGCAAATTCATTTAAACTTTGGTAAAGTGTTTAT